GGAGATAAACGTGAATACAAAGGACTGGTACTCAGGAATGGCCTAAAAGTCCTACTAATCAGTGATGTGGAGGCAGATAAGTCTGCGGCCGCACTGGACGTGGCGGTGGGCTCGATGTCGGACCCCCGGGAGGTGCAAGGGTTGGCCCACTTTTTAGAGCACATGCTATTCTTAGGCACCGGTAAATACCCCGTAGAAAACGATTACCATAAATACATCGCAAGTAACGGGGGGTCATGTAATGCCTATACGGCTGAGACTCATACCAACTATCACTTCGACATATCCACGGACTTCTTGGCCGGTGCTCTCGACAGGTATGTCCACAAAATTTATATGATTTTGATTATAGAAAGTTAAATAAAATTTTCAAATGTATGGTCAGATTCGCGCAGTTCTTCATTGAGCCGCTGTTCACAGAGAGTGCGACGGAAAGGGAGATGAATGCCGTGCACTCGGAATACGAGAAGAATATACCGATGGATAGCCGAAGATTATCTCATTTACAGAGATCACTATCAGATCCCACTCATGATTACAACAAATTCTCGACCGGTAACTCATTGTTTCTGATTATAAGTAGTTTCAGAAATATAAGTAATTTGTTTCAAATATTTCAGGAAATATGGAAACTCTTAAAGAGATTCCTTACGCCAAAGGCATTGATGTCCGCCAGGAGTTACTGTCGTTTCACGAGCGCTGGTATTCAGCAAATATCATGTCTTTAGTCGTTTTGGGCAAAGGTTTGCCTCATAAGTGTTGACCACTTAATACATACCAATAGTTATTATTGTTATGAATACACAGAAAGTATTGAAGAATTGGAGGCATTAGTGATTCCGTTGTTTTCGCGAATTAAGAATAACAGTGTAATCGCTCCCAAATGGACTACTAATCCATTTCCCGACCTTTTCCTACAAAAGCAATGCTATGTTGTGCCGAATATGGACACCAGGAGTCTTACTATAACATTCCCAATGCCTGATATGGTTAACCATTACAAGTATAACACATTATTTAATGCAGAATAATCAAAGAAATACATTATTCTTCATTAACAGATCAAAACCACACCGTATGCTGACTCACCTCATTGGACACGAAGGGCCAGGTAGTTTGCTATCGGAGCTAAAAGGGCGCAACTGGTGTACCAGTCTATCGGCCGGGCATTCGGTCGGGAGCTACCGGGGGTTCGCTTTCTTTAATATTGGCGTTGATCTGACTGAACAGGCTATGGATAGCATCGATGATATCATTTCATTGGTCTTCCAATACATTAATTTACTTAAAGTATGAATCAGTTTATTGTATTCAAGAATATTCTATGAGTTGTATTAATAAATCAATTTTTATTAATTGTGTTCAGAGAGAGGGTCCGAAGCAATGGATTTTCGATGAATTGAAACAAATTCGAGAAATTAGGTTCAGGTTTAAGGAAAAGGAGAGACCCATGGGTTATGTGATCGACCTTTCCCATGATTTGCATGTATATCAATACTGTACTATCTACAGTTTTATTTGTGTTTTAAAATCTATTCTTAATTAGGACTTCCCTTTTGATGAGTGTCTGAGTGCCGGATATTTGTTGGATGAGTTTAGACCCGATTTGATCACTGATTTACTCAATCACTTGACTCCGGATCGCATGCGAGTGACAGTTGTGTCCAAACAGTTCACCACAATTGCAGACCAGACAGAGAAGTGGT